CAATGTTATAGTTCTTAATCGAAATTCTAGATAGATATTAGTAGTCGTGCCTCGAGTCGTGCCCTATTCATTATTTCATGATGTGACGTGTGATTCTTGCACTCAAGATGTCACTTTATTTTTCAGATGCTGAACATGAAAAAAGTTCAAATGTTTGCAATGTTTAATACCATAGAAGATTTACAGACCCAAGAATATGTATAGGAGTAAAACCTTACTACGGCTATAACACACAATTGCTCTCGTTTCACTGTGCTCGATACGTCAATGAGGTACTTTGTATATCATCAATATTATTTCCGTATCTGATATCACAATGTGTTATTATTTCAAAAAAACCTCATCGCTCATGGAATGTCAAATGTGAGCAATGACACCGCTGTCTAATAGATGAGCATTACTTGACAGGAAATCAAATGGCTACAGGACGACGAAATCGAAAATGTCTCATGCTGCAAACTTTATTCTCGTAGGAAATCACTATATCATTCCGTGCTCGTTAAACAATTTACTAATTTCATTTATTACATAATCTGATCAATCATATCACAACGTGGGTAATCGCGAAAACACAAGCGGTCTTTCAATTCAAAGACTGTCAGTTTGGCATAAAAAAATTATATCTGTCGTCAGAATATGAATCGCTCATTTATAAGAAATTCTCTCTCTCTCTAGCAAATCACAACTCCGTTCTGAATATGTTCTCATGACTCTGTCTTTCATTGTTAAATAACTCAATTGTGTTAAAATACCACTCGTCGTGGTGTTGCCCAGCAGCTTTCGTGAACAAGGAAGCGACAGAATTATCTCGAATATTCAGAACATCCTTATGAATCTTCATGCCATAATTTCACCAGTACCCATTTTTTCGGAATATCAACAGATGTCACGTCACGTCAAATGATGAAAAACACCGCCTTTACTATTTCATTATTACTTCATTGATATTTGCAATATTTGTAACGAGAAACAAGTCACGATGTCGATCAAAAACGAACACTTCAAATGACCAAAAAAGCAGTTCTGTGGTTTTTCATCGACTACTTATATCTGCCGATTCCTATCATAAATTCCGATAAATTCACATGAATCCAGTTGAAATGAGAGAGTTATCAGCTAGGTTCAAATTGAAAATTCATTCGAACGTTCTTGTTTCATATTTTTTAATGAACCGATCAAAGTGTGTCGTGCAAATTGAAGAGCAGTTCCTATGACATTATGTCTGATCTTCCTGAATCTGATGAAATTTTTCTAGAAAACTGATCACAAAATGAGCTTCTTCTATATAACAAGAGAACATGAGTTTTTCGGATCTGATTTTTTATAATATGCCATCTTGAATAAAGAAACGTCACTGCCTAATTGGGATGAAGCATATCTGAAATGAATATATTCGTTATTGAAGGCCATGAAATCTCAACTTGTTTTGTTTTCCACTACGTGAGTCTCTTCCTGAATTGCCCTGTATATCAAATTTGTCCTATAGTTTCTAAAAGCATCTTCCCCATATAGGTCAATATACAGTAAACTGATGAATATATTCAATAACAATATAATCCTTGTATCCTTGTGGAAATTCCTATTTCACTCAAAAGTCGAGAAATATGGTGCATTGATCAAGAGAATTTTGATGAAATCATCGTGAGAAAAAGAACAGCAGTTTCGCATTCATGCTATAAAATGACCCTTCTAACTATCATACAGAAGAGCAGCTTTGAAAATTCACGGCAACTTATCTCACAGCATCTAAAAAGCCTTCGCTTTTCTATATTTCGCTCTCGAATAATCTTGGACATCCCCTCGTATGTCTTCTTCGCGGTAATAAGATATGCGCCTATCGAACGAGCGAGGCGGAGATATTTAGTGAGAAAGACGGAGTCCGTTCTGGAATTTCAAATATTCACCTCGTCTTCTACCCCTTAATAGAGGAGAAACTGAAGTATCATCGATATCATCCACTTAAGTATTTTTGTTTTGATCAGGAAAGCCTTCAAGATTCAAATACTTGCTGGATCTATATTTCATTCGTTATTCTCGGGATGGATAACTTGTTTTTGAATAATCACGGCAAGCAATAATTTCTTTGCGTAAAACAACGATATTGTTCACCTTCATTTGATTATCATGCGAAAAACATTGTATTATGGAGAGGAATAAAAAATCGCTATTATTTTTGCTGATATGCTCACTAACCTAACATTTTCCACGTCTTGTTCATATATACCCTATATACCTGGCACTAGCGCGGTATTTGCCATTAGAGCACCTGGTCCATACACAAATATGTCAATATATATGTGATGGTATTTATATTGAAACTACAATTCGAACATCCTTGGAAATTGAATGAACTTGCTGTTGATGCAGGTAGAATGCTCTCACCACACGGATTGTTTGTCAATATTTGTTGCATTGCATACATATGGCACGGCATTGGTGGTAACTTCACATACTTATTTGAGTTGATTGTTTCGGTTGCAGAAAAAATAGCATGTTTCATTCGGATAAAAAGTGACTTTGTTATTCGACTAGAAAATTTTGCTTTTGCTCGGCTTCGCTATACGCTCCGCCTCGCAAATGCAAAATTCGCTTGTCAAACAAAGTGTCACTTTTGATTCTAATAAAACAATCTACTATTACCATAATCAAATCGATTTTGTACGCTTCGACACGTGTTTTGCTGATTATGTTAGCATATACCGATACTTCCACGGGAAATGTTCTTCGAAAATCTCTGCTATCTTCCCTTCACTAGCAATACCAGTCAGACGAACTAGACAAGCCCAGTCAGCACATCCTTTCGTTGTCAACCTCGAAAGATGTCGAACAGCACTTTATCAAAACTCCTTCATCCATAGAATGGCTAGGCTCTGGAATTCATTGCCTGAGGAAGTATTCCCATCAACATATAATCTCCAGAAGTTCAAACAAAATTCCGATACCTACCTCCTATTCCTATCCTGCCTAGGAACGCACGATGTTCATTGAACATTATAGAGATTTCCTTTCGTGCGCTCCAAGCGATAAAAAAATATTCAGGAGGAAATTATAAACTTCACCAAAAATACACAAACCCGGTAAAAAAAATGAGACCAATTGTATCCACTATTGTGTTTCCTACTCACAATATTTCAAAGAGGTCAGTTGAAGTTTTCAAAACCTCGAATAATTCTTACAACAATCACTCTGGTGAGGTTTGAATCTGACCGAAGGTGACATCCTGATATCATCTGATGTCTCATCATTTTTACCATATTTTCACCAAGTGTACCCATACCAAAAACTTCGGAATATTTGAGGAAATTACTCGAATGTGATCCGGATAATATCAAAGAATTGGTCAATCTCACAAACCTCTGCATAGGCCAAAATATTTTCCAATAAAGGCCAGAATTTTTGAGCAACATGAAGGTACAGCTATGGGTAATTGTTTATCACCTTTCTTGGCTAAATTGTTTATGAACCGGTTCGAAACAAATGAAAAAATGAATTTCAGTATTTGCCTATGGTTTGGATTAGAATTTTGACGATACTCTTGCTATTTTTGATACGAAAATCACGGATATAGATAACTTCATTTCACAATTGAATAATTGCTTCCTCTCTATCAAATTCACTTTTTAATGCGAGAATAAAGGTCAATTACCATTCTCAGATGTTCATTTGATCTAAAATGGCAAAAACAATTCAGAATTTGATGTTTTTAGAAAAGTAACTAACACACTCAGATACATAAATAATTACTACAATCAATGTTTTCGACACGAAATGGCAAGTTCCACATCCGAATGACGGATTGAACAATTTTAGAACAATTCTTTCGACTCGATCTCAAGGAATGGTGCCCAAGCTCAAAAGGCCCGGGTGTTTCTTCAACTTTTCTAGGACCTACATCTTCATCCTTCATTCTGAATACCTGTATTATTGTTATGTCATGCAAAGATGGTCAGATATGGTATGAAGAAGGCATTAAAACGGTGCCTAGATTCAAATTTCGTATTTAACTGTATGTTGCCTTATAGGTATACTTCTTTAGGTGGACTCGAAAGGTTACTGACCACTGATTCAATAAATTCAATACTCATCACTGGTTATTTTTAGATTTGTTTATATATGTTGTGGAACACACTCAGAAGTCCAATGATTTTCAAGAAAGCAATGCAATTGTTTCCATGATACTGAAGAATAAAATGTGTAGCCACAATCAATCATCACTATAATCATGATTATTTTCTTCGTATGATTTTGAACAGATAAGAACGTTCAATTGAGTTAAGCTACCTTGTTTAATTTTGAATATACATGGATATACATTTAGTAACTCCTCCCGCTCCGCAGTCGGATTATTTCTACTGTCAAACTGACACTCTGTAAATATTTTGAAGTACTCATAATATCACTACTGAAATTACTGTGAGAGCTAGCTAAGATACACTCAGTGGTCAATGAGATTCACTGCTTGCCATAAACATTCTATTCTCTAATGGGACATCTTCGAGATTTTCTGAATTCAATGACACTTCATAGATGTTATTTCATTCGTGAGAAAATTTTATTTTTCGAACTAGAGAGCCATGAACTCTCGAAAATTATTTAAAATGATCATAAGTAATATGTTGATGTTCTGAATATAAGAGGTACAATGAAAGACAGAATTATGAGAAGATATTTTGCTAGACCATTTCACGATCGCGAAGCATAAAAAGCACTTATTATAAATGAGTGATTTATTTTGACAAGTATTGATACAGCCATGATAATTTGATGCAACACGAATTCATAACTTTTAATTCAAATTGAATGGAACATATAAACATAGCATAATGAATAAATGATGGATTTCCTTCTCAGTCACTCCACAAGTGAGCTGGGGCAGAATGAACGGCTGGGGCAGCGTGCACATACTGGGCTGCACGTACTGGAGCAAGCACATGTACAAGTGGGGCAGAGTATACCTTCTGTACTGGAACAGAGTATACATTCTGTACTGGGGCAGAGTGTCAATTTTGTACTGGAGCAGAGTGTGCAGCTGGAACTGGGTAGACTTGAGTTTTTTGCTTCTCCACGACTGTGTTGAACATGTCGTGGTTATCAGCGGAATAGTGGACAGTACAAAGGGTGCAAGGATCAGCTACGGAGCAGTTGCCCTTCACAGAGTCTCCATCACGTTGTTCGTATTTGAGGTCAGCCTCTGGTTTGTTAAAAAGAATAAAAGCATCCCCACTGACAAGAGAACTCGACGACATTGAGGAAACAAGAGAATCATTGTACTCGTGCCAAATTTTCGTATATAGATGTCCGCAGTAGGCTGTGTAGTGTCCGCTGTAGGTGGTACCGCTGTGATTTGACATAGCGTACAGATTGTAAGGACATGGAACGATGTCTTCAGCTGCATAGAGGCTCATGTACAAGCCGATCAAGGGGAAGTCGACAATTGTGTTCAGTTTCTCACTGAACTCTTCAGTCTGCGAGAAACGTTTCAGATGCATAACCAAGGGAACTTGTGGATGAATAATGACTTCAAACATTTCCTTTTTTCTTTACACATCAAGCAAGTTGGTTTCCTCTCGCCGTCTCAAATCTCAACACTAGTAAACGAGTCCAAGCAATGAGACAACCTGAGTTGGCCTGATCGCTGTGGTATCGGTGAAGACAACTCTCAAAATGGGTCGAATGTCTCCGAACAATTGCCACAAAAGGTGCATCTTAAAGGGGACTTGAACTACCCGACAAAATTATCGAGGAACTTCATTAACAAGAATCTCGACCACAAATCCATTACTCCGACATTGAAACTGACAGACTTCGCTTCGCTATCCATGGTTACATCCAGACTTTGGTTTGCTATCCATGGTTACATCGTTGAAAACATGAACGCTGTCAGACCAATCAGAATTGAGAGACAGCGATGAGCACACTTTATCTGGCTTGTGATTGGTCAGATTATTTGATGAGTGAAATAGCCAAGATGATACCATACTTCTGCGTAGCCCATTGAAATTGTATGGCGTGGTGCCACAAGAGTAAAACAAAACGTTTTACTACTCGAAACTTCATTCTTTCAAATAGTACTATAATTGAACTGTACGTCATTCGAAAGTGAATACCATCGATATGGCATTTGAAACCCCATATTAGTCTTGAAAATAATTTGATAGATATGTAGAAACCAAAAAATACCAGCGTAATTTTTTGTGGCGCTGGGAATTTGAGGAACCAGCGTAGAGAGATCCCGCAAAACACAGAATTTCACAAAATGCATTTCGTAACTACTAACGTGCAATATTTTCTAATTCTGATGAACAATTTTGCTTGAACAAATATGATGACCAGTTCTAACACTTCGAAATACATGAGTTCTACCGATTATGAACATAATGTAGTATAATATGTTGAACAATAATATAGTGACGAAATTCACGAAATAGATTCTGTCGATACTATCATTAGTGGAAAATGGCTGATTCAATTTTTCAGATTTCCCAAGAAAAATTGTGGTAGCAGCGAAAAATGCACTATTATATCTTCGTCCATCTATATTTTGATGTTGTAACTGGTGTTGTTTACGCGTTTTCTGTTTTCTTATAATTTCATATGGAGAAATTCAACCTCCATCTTCTATGGTTTTCTGTCAATATATGGTTAGCGTTTGTTGATGTTCGTGAATTCGATGGTTGAACTTACTACCTGTCTGACTAATATTCAACTCATGACAAGATACCCAATTTAGTTTGTATAATTCTGATTTTCCGGATTCAAAATTTTGTTATATAATTCTTGATAAACCGTCCCAACGTGGAAAAGCTGTGAATTGGTGAGTTTCAGTTGATCGTGATGAAGAATGTTATAATATTTACGTTTGTTGAGTTTTTTCAGAAGCCATATTTTCACCTCTTGTTCCGATTGCTGAATGACCTAAAATAGTCCTGAAGTTGGAAGTATCAATATCCCACCCTCTTTCTGATGAATGTCGTCACGTCGAATTATTGTTCATTATTGCCTTTCTTTAACCCTTGGAGCGCATGAGAGGAAATTCCTATGTTTGTGAAACATCGCGCGTACCTAGGAAGGACAGGGAGAGGAGGTAGGTGTTGGTTTTCTTTTTGAAATTTTGGAGGTTATAAGTCCTTGGGAATACTCTAATTGGCAAAAATCACGAAGCTTCGCCGTTCTATAGAAGAACGAGTTTTGGTAGAGCGTTCTTCGACATTTTGAAGTCTAACGACGAAGAGATGTGCTGACTGGGCCTGTCGAGTTTGTCTGACTGGTACTGCTAGTGATGGCAGAAATTTCTGGGGAACATTTCCGTGGAAGTATCAATAGAAAAGTGGAAGGTCGCCGACTTTTCTGAGGTGTTCTAATGGGGTCAAAGAGCTGGTTGAGTGTGGCATCACCCACCAGGCGAATGGCTCTTCTCTGTATGGAATCTGAGAGCATCAGCGTATGTTTGAGTGCTGAACACCATATATGAGAACAGTTTTCTGAAACTGGCCGCATCTGTGCTTTTTGATCATGAGATTCTGTTGTGGTGTGGAGTATAAATTCTCACACGGAACAAGAAACTGAGTTAGTGTGAAGAAGCTTTTGCGATCGATGCAGAACATTATTTTCCCATGAGAAAGTATACATCGAGCATAGATATAGTTGTCTTGGTGTTGATGGTGGCACCAGAAATTGTTATATCAAGCATACTAAGTCCCGCCTTTCTAGAGAAAATACAGGCTTGCGATTTGGTGTCATTGAATTCATCTAGGTTGCTGCTTCCATATGCTGTAATTTTCGCAAGATCTTCATGCAAGCGTTGGCCTCCGTCGCAAGTTCTTAGTTTACTAGGAAGAAATAGGGATTCTGAAAGAGAATACTACGAAGGCGCTGAAGGGCCACCTATACTTTTTTTTTGAATCCCGACTTTAAAGTCGGCGGTCCGAGATCAAAGTCGGGGGTCCGACTTTAAAGTCGGGGGTCCGAGATTGAAGTCGGGGGTCCGACTTTAAAGTCGGGGGTCCGAGATTAAAGTCGGGGGTCCGAGATTAAAGTCGGGAGTCCGAAACTGAAGTTAGGAGCTAGATTATATTCGTTAAATATGTGGACAGAAATAAATAATTTCCATTGTTACTTATCAGTTTGACGTCAGCAACATGCTCCTGAATTTTCTACATGTACTCGAGGAACACCCTGTACATTTATGTACAAACAATAATTTTACATCCATTGGATAATCATCACATAAGAATCAGTCAAAATCCTCCTTTTTGGATGTACACTGAATGTCAAATAATGGATCACACCTGTACGATCATTATCGTACGTATAGGGTGATATAGGTTTATATTCCACTTAACATAAGAATGTCATTTGTTTGTTCAAAGGGTGCAAAAAGATTACAATACAAAACATATATTTTCACAAATGAATTACCCTGAATGTCATTCCGTCCTTGGGTAGAGCTCAGAAAGATGAGTTCAATGATATATGATTACATTTGTAATCTTCTTCAATAAATAGCCAAATTTCAAAGCCTTATGAAAACGTTGAGAATCAAGTTTTCAATGCGCAGTTTTCATCATGAATTAACTAATCATATATGATATATTGATATTTTGTCAATATTGAGGATATCCGAATTAAACAAAAGTGATGACGTATTTTGCAAACCGATCATTTTCTCGGAATTTTAGAATGTATTGAATTTCATTCTTGGATAGAGCTAAGAAAGACCAATTCAATGATATATGATAGAATGGGTCTGAGAACACCCGTTTCGGACTTATCCATGAAGTCCAAGATTAAAGTCGGACCCCCGACTTTAATTTCGGACCCCCGACTTTAAAGTTGGACCCCCGACTTTAATCTCGGACCCCCGACTTTAAAGTTGGACCCCCGACTTTAATCTCGGACCCCCGACTTTAAAGTCGGACCCCCGACTTTAATCTCGGACCCCCGACTTTAAAGTGGGACCCCCGACTTTAATCTCGGACCCCCGACTTTAATCTCGGACCCCCGACTTTAAAGTCGGGATTCAAAAAAAAAGTATAGGTGGCCCTTCAGCGCCTTCGTAGAATACAGTATGGAAAGTACTGCAAAGCTGTGGATGAGGCAAGTGATTGCGCTCCCAATAAAAATAACCGTGGAAAAGAAGATACATACTTTTTCTACGCACTTTTCGATGAGAGAATTAGATAACAGCTTTATATAGTATATATTTCAGATCTGATTCATTTATACTGATGACACTGTTTACTCTTCAACAATTTGGGATGAATATAGTGGATTTATTCGCATTTTGCAAGGTTTCACCTACCGCACGTAGCTCAAACTTGACTATTCATGTAAAAGAATTGTCATTAGCAACTTCGGACGATGAAATTATGTTCTTAGAATTAGGGATTCTTATGAGAAGTGAATCATTGAGTGAAGCAAAAGACTTCCAAATGTTGACCTTGAGAACACTTATTCAACTCTGCAGTCAATCAGATTCCATAGCGGGATATGTCAATAGATATTGGGATTGAATTCAGAAGTGAATACCCTGTTCTATTCAATACAACTGAACAGGAAGATTACCTACTTCAAGAATGTAATATATCTGGCCACAAAGTAGGCGTATATCATATCGAAAAGTCTCATAAATATAGTAAATTGCCTATTTGCCGAAGGCAAATTACTCATTAGAAGTGTTATTAATTGAAAGTATAATCTCGACTCAGCAGACCATAAATAATCATCATCACAATTTCATTGGTACAGGGTGTACCAAAGAAACAGCTCGAGACATGATGAGTGATGAAGTCAGTTCAAGGTCCAAGAACAATAAAGTGGTATTTTCAAAGCAAACTTCTTAACGCCCTCTGACGAAAGTGAGTGGTTAATGATTTTTCATTCATATCAAAACCTTTTACCTAAGAGAAGATATAAGTGATATAAAGAAAGATTCCAAATAATTCAGAACCTACAGAACATTATTTCCGAAGTGATATGCAGGAATGATAGTTAATCACCTTAAAAGATGATAAATAATAAGGAACTTGGCCAATGATTGCGAAATTATCAAATCAGACATGTGTCATGCCTAACCGAACTCGAAGAATAATTAATTCCTTCAACTGGCAAGAATGGAAAATCATAATTAGAACTTTCGCTCTTATTCTTGAGACTGCAAATAGTTGACAGCTGATGATGAAAAATTTAAGAAAGTGCAAGATGAATGGTCGTACCTGTCTCAACGTCAATCTCAAGTCGCCCGTTCAAGCCGAGAACCAAACCACAGATTGAAGGTTTGTTAATCTGTGACCAAACAAAGAGAGAGAGCCAAATTGTTCAATCTTCAATCATATCGTTTTAAAAAAATTTTAATTTTTCAATACATTTCACGTCTTCTCTTCCAAAACATAGCCCTCTATATGATGAGATGAGATGGACAATAATGATCAGTCTACCCACCCAACAAATAAATTATTATCTTCAGAACACAAAACCAATATCATGGATC